TCCATAGACTGGCTTTAGATAAAGAGTGGGCATCTTCATTTATTGAGATTGTTCTGGCTCCAATATGAGAAGTAGCATTAAAATGCTGGAATGCAGCATAGTTAGAGGCTGTTCAAGTCTTCTCTATGGAGCGAGCCAAACGCGGGGTAGCTGGCGTTCTCCATCCCCGCAGTGTCACAAACCCGCTGTGCTTTCAGGAGAGGATCCGGGAGCACCGTGGCAGATGGCTGCTGTGGCGTTTGCGATCCCAGCTGGCTGTGGAGGGGCTAGGGTCCGGGTGAGAGAGGCCGTCGGGATCTGCAGACAACAGCATGGAGACCTGTCAAGGGTCTTGGGGTTCTCTGGGTTGGAGCTGTCCTATAGATGCCAGCTGTGTCCGTTTATGGGCAAATGTAAGATTGTTTTGTTTGAAAACTTTCTCCGTATAATGTTTGTTTTCTGTTACGAGACCGTATCTGTCTGTCTGGCCCCTACCTCTTGGGGCTTTCTGTTGTAGAGCTGCTCCTGTTCTGCTCTAGCCCTTCACGTCAGGTGAGTGCCCTTGTTGCAATGCCCTTTCCGCTTCTATTTCTTTAGATATCTTTGATTTATTTTGTTTAGTGTGATAACCTCAGTCAATACAGTGTGGGTTTGTTTTGGTTTTTTTTTTTTCTTTTAGTGAGTAATTTTCCACTAAACTGCATCTCTTGGAAGGGTTTTTTTTGTGTGCCTTGAGAGCACAGGTTGTTTGTACTGTGTTGGCACCAAGGTGCCCAGTCAGAGCTGGAGTCCGGTTGTGCCGGTTGCTCCACAGGCACGGAATAACCAGATGGTCCCTGCCCCACGGAGGGCGGCCCTGCGGTGGGTGTGACTGCGGGCGCTGCATCAGAGCAGGGAGACGATGGCTTGCGCGAAAGGTGGCTGACAAGCATTTGAATATACTGCTTTAATTTGAATATGCTCCTAATTTAATCAGAAGCTGGTAACAAACTGTGTGCGTTGGTTCCCAAGTGTATTTTAGGGGGTTTAAAATACGGATTCTCAGCTTACACTTTTGGGTGATTCACAGAGAGACTGAGTTCCCTAGTGGTTCCTAATCACAATGTTGCAGAAAAAATTTCAGATCCTGAGAACTGATGACCTGATTGGAGTTTAAAAATCCCGGCTTTTTTTTTTTTTTAGCAATATCTGCCGTGGTTAGCAGCATGGCCCCACGAGCAGTTGTATCCCTTCAACTGCCGGGAGGAGCGGGGTGGCAGGAGCAAGCCCCTGGGACCGTGAGCAGACCACTGTGGCCATGAGGGTACATTTTATATCTGTGTGTTCATCGTTTTCTGGTAGATTAGTTGGATATGTGAGGGGAAGCTCAGCCCAGCCAGGTGAGGGTCGTGAGCCATCTGGACGAAGGCAGCTCAACCTGCATGGACAGCCTAATTTTGGGGAATCCCTGAGAGCCCCAAGGTGTGCATCGCTGGGCCTCTGCCAGGGCCGCAACGAGGGGGCGATGGGTGATGGTTCTTAGGCCGATCAGGGTTTCCGAAGGAGGGATTGGCATGTCTTTGTCAGACAGTTGTAATGTCAGATGGAGGAGAAGGAGGAAATCTGTTTTGGTGCACACCTGGGCACTGGCTGCTGTGGATGAGAGGTGCGTGCTGCTTCCCGTCTCTAATTCACCGCTGCAGCCAAGGTCAAGGCATATGTCTCGCTATAATGCAGCAAACCAAAGAGAAGGACTCCGTTCCTGTTGCTGGGACTTGCTCTGTCCCCATTTCTGTTTCACAGTGTTCCTTCTGTTGTTGAAGTTTAAAATAAAACACTGCTGGGGTCACGAAGCCTGAATGAGGATTAAAGCTGCCTCCTTCCGCGGTGCTCAGCACGTGGCAGCAGTACAAGGGGCAAAACTGTACGTCGGGCGTAATGAAATGAAGGGCTTGCTACCCTCACCTGGCCTCGCCTTGCTGGAAGGTGCCCTGATAAGGGACAGATGCAGTTTTTTGGCCACTACTGAGGTAGAGGGAGCTTTTCTGCGGGTCCCTGGAAGCGGAGCCCTCTGTGCTCAGCGTGTTTGGGCAGCTGGAGTTGCTGCTCCGAGCGCAGAGTTGGGATGTAGGAGCTGCAGGAGTTGTATCGTGCCATGCTCAGGGGAATTTCCCAGCGCTCTGAGCCACCTCCAGTCCTGAGGTCTGCGTCTCAGCGACATTCCCTGCTGTGAGCTCCTGACTCACTGTCAGCTCGTCTGAGCTGCCGGGATACAGGTGAAATCACCGGGCAAGTCCTGCTCCCCCCGGGTTCACGAGCAGGCTCTGTTAGTCACCCAGCACGTTGAGCAGAGCGGCACAGGGAGCTGACCTGATTGCTTTGACATGGAGAGAGAGATGCTTTTGGCTTTAGATTTGACTTTTTTCTTAATCCATATTTGTAAAAGGATTTCCTTTATTGAGCTGTCAGCTGTGCATAACTGACCTTGATTATATCTTGCAAAGGAGTTTAATTCCCCAAATGATGCCATTAAAGGTCTCTCATACATGCAAGGTTTGCTTGGCCAAGTCTTGACCTGCTGGTTTTTCCTCCTCCCTGTGCCTTCAGAGGGAACATCTTGATAGGCAGAGCCTCCCTTACGCCCACATCTCTGCCCTGTGTACTTTTTCCCCTGCATTTTCTGAAAGTGAAGAGTGAAAAGCAAGATGTTATAGAGGCACTAGAAGATGAGATCTGGGCATGCTGGCAGCTCTGTATTTAAAAGGAAAAATGGTTAGGAACTGAACGTTTAAGGACCAAACATTCAGCTGGACTTTTGCTGATTTCAGCAGGATTAGGGAGGGTGACTGCTGAGGATGGAAGGCACCGCCGCTCCGAGCAGGGTAGGACAGGCTGGCTGTAGGAGGCACGGCACTTTGGGAGCAGGGCAGCTGGGGTCTGCCTGGAAAGGTGTTCACACCAGGGCTGCGGGGTGATGGGGGGACAGGCAGAGGGATGGCAGATCCTGCCAGTATGAGCTGGCAGGGCTTAGCCGGCAAGGCTGTGGCGGGCACGGTGTCGAGGAAGCAATCTGGCCGGAGGATGGCAGCTGGCAGAGCTTGGATGGCTCGTGGGGCCATCAGTCTAGGGCTGCCTCCTTCATTAATAACACCTACTTCTCCAGCGCTTTCTGAGCGAGGCTCAAACCTCCCTGAGCCCTAAACTCCACATCTCTCGTGTGCAGCTCCTGCATCCTACAGAGGCATGGGGGCAAATGGAGGAGATGTTGCTTGAGAGCCAGGGCAGCTCTTGGAGCTGCTCTGCGTTCCCCTGGCAGTGCTTTGGCCCTGATCGCAGGACTGTATTCCCCCACATCATCCAGCTTTAAGGGCATTTCATGGGGAATCCTACCCTGAAAGTTAGAGCACCCCAAGCAGTATTCCCCCAGCCTGTGGGCACTGGGAGAAGGCATTTCTGTTGAGAGTGCAAGGTTGCTTGAGGTGCCCAGATCATGCAGCAGCATGTGTTTTAGTGTTCCCTTCAATATCCTTGTAGAGAATAACCGAGTTCAGGCCATCAGCAAGGTAGCTGCCAGGAGCAGTGGAAGACATGGAGGGAGGACAACATGCTTCCAACAGGAGACATTTAGCAAGGGGGGGGACAGACTGCTGGCAACCTGCGTCGGAAGCTGATCATCGGAACTAGGAAGCCAAGGCACTTAAAAAATCCTCTCCTTTCATAGTGACTCAAATTTGTAACCTGCAGTTGCTGTGTAGGGTTGGAACAACACTCTGTCTAGCCCAGTTTTCTAGCTCCAAAATACCAAGGAAACAACACAGGCTGCATGGGAGAGTGGGCTGGAGAGCTGAGAGCTGGCTCGGGTACATCTGTTGAGGCTGCAGGCATTGTGGGAGGTGCTCTGCATTGGAAGGGTGCGGGCGAGCCCTGCAGGATAATCCTGTTCTGTTTGAGCTGCTGAAGCTGAGCCATGAGGAACCGGTCTCCCAGCAGCGATTTTACCTGCTGGCTCTGAGGTGATGTGCAACAGACAGCTCTAATGCACAACAAGTTCAGTAGCACCTCGGGGTGACCTTGCCATATCTCCAAAACAGGTCTGAGGGGTCTGTATTCTATGAGAGGGATGCTGTCAGTGGGAGCGGGAGAGCTGGGCAGTGTCAGTGCTGGCAGGGACAGGTACTAGTGGAAGAGCAACAGTGCTAGGGGTACTTGGATTTCTTGCTCTGGTAGTCCTTGACTCCTCAGGCTCCTCTGAGCTACTGCTGTGGAGTAGCCAGGCAGTCCTGGGAGCTTCTCCAAGGCTAGAGTCTGTCCTCTGCAGCCTGCTTACCTGGCAGGTCTGACCTCCCATCTTGTGTCTGCAAAAACTATCCTCCTAATTTATGTGGGTTTCTATTTATTTTCTTCCTCTAATCATGCCCCTGATGTGCAACCCACATGACAGCTTGCTTTTGATTAATTGCTCTGAAATGAGTGCCAGTAATGTGGCATGGGCGGTACAGACTCAGGCAGTCGGAGGGCAGCGCTGATTGCATTGCTGTGCAAATAGCATTCCTGGTCACATTTGGTGCCCGGTGATCATTGACTTCGGCACTGACGGATAGTTACAGTCATTTGGGACAGCTATGTCTCATGAAATTTGTCAAATCCCCATAAAATGAAAGACGATAACGATACTGTAAAAGCATTGAATATGAGATTTGGTTACCTTTATTAAGATGTCTTTTATCTAAATGATGCTTGATTCCTGCAGTTAATTCTCTGCTCATAGATTCCCGATTTTGAAGTTTCTCAAAACCAAGACATCCCTTTTTTATTACCTGACTTTTTGAAATAGCTGGTGATGCTCAGCAAGCAAAGATGCAGTGATACTCCATGAGACCTCTTGTGCCGTTAGAGGCTATTAGAGAAGTCAGAGAGCAGAGGAGGTTTCCTTACAGACACGAAGCAAGCAGAGCATCTCGTGCCCACTCCACCACAGATCTCCTCACTCTGGTCTATGGCTGAAATTCAGCGTTCTCTCTAACTGGGCCTCTGTTCAACAGGTGAAGCAGATCATGGAAGAGGCGGTGACGAGGAAGTTTGTGCATGAGGACAGCAGCCACATCATCTCCTTCTGCGGTGAGTCTCTGGTGGCGGGATGTTGATGGGAACTGGGGGCTGAAGCACCCTCTTCATGTTGGGCTTTCCCTGCCTGGTGTTGGGGCTGAGGTACACGTGTTTCCTGGGGGCACGCTCCAGTTCTGGGATGCGCTGGTCTGCTGAGCTCTGCACTGGGCAGGGTGCTGAGACCTGGCCTCAAACTCGTGACACATTCCACCAGGAACCAGGCTGCTCTCTCCTGCTCCACACTACCTTTGATATACAAATACTCCTCCTCTCCTGCTCCACAGTCCTTGCCCAGAGTCCCTCTGGCATGTATTGCAGACAGTGCCCTGCTGTGTTGTCTCTCCAACAGATATCGGGGTGGTTGAAGTCCCCCATGAGGCCAGGGCTTGTGAACGTGAGGCTGCTCCTATCTGTCTGTAGAGGGCCTCATCCGCTCGGTCTTCCTGGTCAGGTGGCCTGTAGCACACCCCCACTGTAATGTCACCTGTCCCTGCCCTCCTTCAATCCTGGCCCATAAGCTCTCGGTCGGCTCCTCATCCATCCCCAGGCAGAGCTCCATGCACGCCAGCGGGTTATTGACATAGAGGATGACACCCCCTCCTCGTCTCCCCTGCCTGTCCTTCCTAAAGCCTGTATCCTTCCAACACTCCAGTCGTAGGAGCCATCCACCACGTCTCTGAGATGCCGATAAGATCATAGCCCTGCAGGTGTGTGCATGTCTCTAACTCCTCTTGTTTATTCCCCATGCTACTTGCGTTTGCGTAGAGGCATTTAAGTTGGGCCACTGATGAAGCTGCCTTGCTGGCTGGAGTGGCTGGAATTCCTTGTGCTGCTCTTCAGGTGCTCTCCTGCTGACCCATGATCCTTCTCCAGGCGCTGGGCATCTCTTGCTGGCAGTGGCATCAAACTGGTAGGAGTGGGATGGACTGAGGTTCCCCTCCCCTGGCAATTTTAGTTTACAGCCCTCTTCACCAGCTGGGCAATTAGTCTAGTCATGGCAGGGCAAGCGCTTCAGGCTATCGGCTGAGTGAGGTGGTTGTAGCCCAGGAGCCCTGGGCGTGGAACCGGCCCTTTGTGCTAGGTGCTGCATGGATAAGAAAATTTCTCAGCCCCTTGAGGGTGCAGGTGGGATGGAGCTGGAGCCAGATGAGGGGCTTCAAGGAAGCAGAGGGACAGCATTAATCAGACACATGAGCTGTGGTTTCTGTGCCCCGGCAGCCCTGTCAGTGTCAAGTGTTTACCCACTCACCCAGAGCTCGAGAGCATGCTTTGGCAAGGTGCCTGGTGCCCTCCATCTGCCTCTGTCTCCTCACTAGCAGCTTTATGAGAGACGGATACTGGTTTGGGGAGATACCACTGACTGCTATGGAAGAAGAATAAGTCCCCTGCTGTCCTTCAAGTTGGCAGTAGGCTTGCACCATGGTGGTTTTTCCAGGTGTCTTTGTTTTTGAATCTGTTTATAGCCCCTTCCCTTGGCAGTGTTACATATAACAGAGCAGCAGTCAGCATTGCAGTGGACCGTTCTGCCAGACTCCTGCCAGACGCAGTGGTTCTCCCTCCAGGTGCTGCTCTCGGGGCAGTGTTGGATGCAAAAGCTGTTGCTGATGGTCACTGATAGCACTGGGCAAATGGAGGTAGTTTGCTGAAGGTGGCTTGCTGAGGGCTAGAGATCGTGCTGTTGTGCTTCCACACTTGCATGTGTGAGAAGAGGCTCCATCCACCAAAGTCTGTGGAATTGCCCTCTTTGGGATGCTCCCTGAATTTTGCAAGACAAAATTCCTACGCTGGACTCGTGATGGAAGTGGTTAGAGTTCCCTCTGCCCGCTTACTCCCAGGGCAGGTTGTCTGGTCCTGGAGCACAGCATCTGTCCCTGCTTGGAAGGGGCTTTTGGGGAGTGCAGTGTGCGTGCCTGTGCCCTGGCGTGGGTAGAGGTCCCATCTGCAAAGTGGGTGCTGCCCTTTCTCCTGGCTCAGGCTGATCTCGCACGCTCACTGGCCACGCACCACTGCCGAGGAAGCCGTGCCTCCCCTGCCATTCAGCAGGGTGAGGTGCTTGCCTGCTGCCCTCTCTGTTTCACGTGTTTCTACTGAGCAGACAGACAGATGAGGCATCATTGTAGCTCTGCTGGAAGAACCTACGCTCCCTCTCTGCCCACTCGCCAATTTTGCAGCCCATGTGCTGGGTCTCCCTGCTCCTGCCTGCTGTGGTAGTGACTATGGCAACATGCAGGGTGATGGCCGAGCAGGCAGGCTGCGGTGCCAGTGGCTGCAGAGCCGGAGTCTGGGTCCAGCTCTGCCATGTAGTGGAGGTGATGTTGTGGGCTCCCTTGGCCTGAGCCTTCCTAACAGCCACAGCCTTCCTGCTCGTCGCGGTCCTGGAGGTCTGTGGGGAATCCCTGGGGGCACCGCTGGGCAGAGCCTGGGCGCTACAACGTGCCTGGGTACTCCTGGAGCAGATCTCGGGCGCTTCCTTGTCCCTTGCTGCCATGCAATGGTGAACCCCTGAGACCAGGAGCCTTCGCAGGCTCTACAAAACACTTAGATGGCTGACAGGCAGTGCGGCCTCTGGCAGAAGCAGCCTGTATTCCTTTATGCAGGTCACAGAGCTGCTGACAAACCTTCCCTGCTTTCTGCAAAGAAGGACTGTTAAGGGAGGAAAGCAGGCTGTCCCCTTGTATGGCTGAAAGGGCCTTGGGAGAGACCGCTACCAGCTGCTGGGAAAGGTACCTGCCGGTTTTATCTGTGGCTTGCTGTTTGCTGCCGCCTCTCCTCCCCAGGTGACAGCTAGCCATCCCTGCGGTCCCTGCTCAAAGCCCAGCATAGCTGCAAGGGAAAGCATTGCTCCTGCAAACCAAGGAGCCTCGGCAAGCGCAGCTGGGCTTTGCTGCTGCAGGGTGTCTGCTCAGCATGGCTGCTGCCAGGGATTTGAGATGGCGATGTGGACCTCACAGGGTCCTTGGCCGAGCAAGTTTCTTCAAAGGGCAAAGCAAGAAACTCCCCTGTCATCCTGTGGCTCAGCCCTGGGACTGAAGCTGCCAGGGAACCTCTCTGCTGCTCTACTCTGACACCATGAGCCCTAGTTTCCAGGTAAGGGGCTGGCAGCCTGTGCCCATTTGGAGCCTGATCCGCTTGCTGTGCCTGTCGCTCTCAGCAGAGATGTTTGCTGAGTTACAGTCAGCTGCGCTTCCAGCACGCCCAGGCTGGGGCCATGTGGCTGCTGCTGAGCAAATGCTGCAGGCAGCGTGCGGAGGGGGAGCGGCACTCCTCAATTTACAAATAGCTGAAGGGCAGCTTGCTAATTTGGAGGCTGGGAAGAAAATGACAGAAGTGATGACAACTAGCTTTTGCAGAAGTTGCTCTGAGAAGGCTTGTGCAGCACTGTCACCACTGAAAACGACTGTAGCATCCACAGACATAGGCACAAAAAAGAAAGAGAAGGGAGCTGTGAGGTCTCCTTTTCTGCTTTGGAGAGCAAAGAGGCTGCCTTCTTCCTTCTCTCCTGGGCCCTCGCATAAAAGACATGCAAGTGCTTGTTTCAGGCCTGTGTGCCTTTGTATGCTCTGGACCCAATGGCATCGAAAGAGCAGAACAGACTTCAAGGTGTGACTCATTCTCTGCTTTTCTGTGCAGCACGAGGCTTCGCAGCCTGGAATTATTTATAGCCTCCTGCGACACGGAGCTGAGGCATCCAGGCACGAAGGGCTTGTTGGTTCCTTCTGGCTTCTTAATGATGCCGCTGTACTTTCACTGGCTTCTGGTGTCTACACCTTCTGGTCTGTCTGCTGTTGCTCTCTCATTTGAATGGTGCGTGCACCTTCCTTGGTGCTGTGGCTCTCCGGGTGAGCTTATAAATAACCTCTTTCACTGACAAGCAGAGCGTGCTGCAAGCCCGGCTCTGGCTAGGCAGAGCTGCCCTTTTCTCTGGGGAGAGCCGCCTTCCTCACAGAGCCCTCCTCGCTGAGCCCTCCTCATCCTCTGCGTAGCCAGTGTACCGCAAACCCCTTCTGATGAAACCAGTGGTCTGGCAGGAAAGGGCAGCTGCCCTGTTTTGCCTGCGAGGGAAGGGTTTGAAGCAGACGAACGCGAGTTGGCATCTGTCACGTTCATGCTGCCCTGGGAGGCTGATGGAGAGCCAGCAGCAGGGCTGGGGGCCTGCGTAAGCCGAGGGGTTTGTTGTCCGCATCGGTGCTGAGACTGCCTTCATGCTCAACCCCCGAGTGGTTTGAATCGTGCCAGGCCAGAGCGCTCTCGGGATCTCAAGTATATTTAGCCCTTTGCCAAGAAATAAAACTCTCACCTTGCTTGGGCGCAGCTGCGCAGAGCCCCTGCACTGTGCGTCTCTGCTGTAGGGATGGGGAGAGTCTTTCTTTTCACGGTGTCTGTTGGCAGTGGTGACAGTAAGTTATGAACTGGGCTCAAAAAATCATAAGGTTAAAAAAGAAACTACAATTACCCCTGGATTTAGCATGGACCCGGTGCACTTAGTTCATGTGCTCAAGTTTCTGAGCCCTTGGGAGAGCACAGGGAGAGTTCTCCCTATGGAGACTGCACATTTGTGCGTAGTTTTGCCAGCAGGAGGAGTGTTTGGGAGAGGTTCAGGCTGGCGTTGAGGACAGATGCTGATGGAGGCTCTGTCTTGCTGGAGCGTGCTGGGAGGCTTTTCAGCAGTCCGGGTTTTCTCCCTTGTGCTGCTCCCTAGCTGGCAGGGAGGTGGGATGCACTGGCCATGACGTGAGCAAAGCGATCTGCTGCTCTCCTGCGCAAGCACGAGTGCTCTCGCTCATCTGCTGGAAATCCGGAGTGGAACTGACGGTGCATCGAGCACCTGGTGCCCAGCAGAGGTGGTCTCTCGGGAGGGCTGCAGGGCGGCCTGTGCAGGGAGGCAGCCCTGGCTGCTGGTCCCCCTGTGGCGCTGGGAGCCATGGCGGGCCCTTGGCAAGTCCCTGTGCTGGCCGGGGTGCAGTGCCTTGTTACGGTACGGCACTCTGGGGGCCGGCAAAGGCAGAGGGTGCCTGGTTTGCTAAGGCATTTTGGTGGGCAGCAGAGGCAGGGAGACCTCATCTGCCTGCCCCAGGCTTGCTTGCATGACTTTTCTCTCTGGCGTACGAGGGTGGGTGCGAGGCACAGAGGGGCTTTTTGGGCTCACTGCCTTGCTGGCCTCTTGTTACCATGTGCAGCTGGCAGAAAACTGGGCCCTGATAAGTTGCTGATTGCCAGCGTAATTGATTTGACAACAGATGGCTTGGCAGAGCTGGGAATGCCACAAATCCAGGGCTGCTCTTGCACCATGTCCGGCAGCTCCGGCACCCAGCTGCATCAGGTGAGCATGGGAACCTGGCCAGGCTGGTGCCTGCTGCGGAGGCTGAGGCCACCTCCAAAGAGCTGGAGATGGCTGCTTGAGAACCGGGAAATCCCCAAAAATACAAATTGGAGGAGGGAGTGATGGTGCCCTGCCCAGTGCTGGCAGCAGACACTGGGGCTGAAGTCCAGTGCCATTGGGAGAGCGCTGGCGTTGGCAGTGTGGTCCCACGGAGACCTCACCCTCGGTTCAGTCTTGGTGGAGAGGCAGGGCTTCTCGCCAGGTTTTGAAGGTGCTGCTGTGATTTGCTTGTTCAGCTGTATATCAGCGTAACCTTACGCTCCAAAAACAACGCTGTGGATTAGTGTTCATGTGGCTTTTTTGCTTGCAGTTCCACTTCCAGCTGGCTCCTGACCCCACTTGGCTGGGGTTGATGACTGCTATTCCACCCTGCTGAGGTTAGCAGCAGAGACCTGCCTGAGCTTTCGGGAGATGCCTGCTCCGTGGCTGGGCACTCTAAAATGGGTATGACCGGGTGCAGTCTCAGGCAGGTAGGGTTGTTTGTGTCGGTCACTTGTATTTCAGCCTTGGAGCATAGAACAAATGAATGAAGGGACGTGGGGTGGGGTGACTTGAGTGTGTGTGAGGGAGGGGTGGGTCTTCTTGCATTGGGTCCCAAAGCCATGAAGCAGTCTGGTCTTATTTTGCAGGTGCAAATAGTCCTCTGGGACAGGTAGGAAGACCCATCCATCCATGGGCCGTGCTGTTTGTAGCACCTCTGGACTTCAGGAGGGTTTGTGCAGGGCTTTGTTTAAAAACTAGGTATCCATCCAGCGGCTCTGAATGGCTGGCTTTGGGTGAGCAGGACTTGGCTGGCCCAAATGCGTTGCTTTTCTGCTGTTAGCACAGGACGTGTCTCGCAGCACCTCAGATGCTGCACACCCGCCCTGCCCGCTCAGCGGTGAACTCGGGCATGGCACTAAGCAGGGCAGAGATAACGAGAGCATCTCTCAGCCCTGGGAGCTGATGTTGATGGGTCTGCATGAAATGTCTTTTTAAATGTCTCCATAGAGTTGTTCAGCTGTAGGAAAAAATGCCTTTCCAAAGGAGAGGCGAATCACATCTGCTGGGCTGCTGCAGGGAAGGCTCAGTGCAGCTGGCTCTGCAGCACCGGGTTCCTGGGGAAGGAGGGGTGCCCGTGTGCCAGAAAGCTTGTTGTCAGGCCCAGATCAATAGCCTGCAGAACTGTGGGTCCGTGTAATTTTCCAGTGCTTTGATCAGCCTGTTTAATAAGTCTGTGTTTGACACTAGACATCCATCCTGAGCCCTCCCAGGGGACTCCGGCACACAGATTGCTGGTGGAGCCTGTACGTGTGCGCGTCTTTCTGTGGAGTCATCGCCGTCTCCCATCGCCAGCAGAGCCGGCTCCCTCGGCTCCCCGCTCACCGTGTGCCCAGGCAGGGACCCTGGCAGGAGAGGGCAGGCGGCCAGTGCTGTCTGGGCACTCACTGTGGTTCGGTGAGTGCCTGACGCTGCCTTTCGGCAGAGCCCAGTGCAGGGAGTTAGGCAAAACCTTACACAGGGACTTTACTGCCGAGTACCAGCTGCAAAGAGCCAACCGAGTCACCACCGAGCTGGGAGGGTCTCTGAAGCCAGACTGAGCTGCTGGCGTTGCCTGTGGTTTATCCCCAGGTTCTCTATTGCCTTTAGTTTTTTTGGGCAAATGTTTGTGTGAACACTGAGATTTTGGGGAAAAAAAGGCCCCATTTCCTCTGCTGCTTTAGAAATCCTCAGTGCACCTGTCTCTCGCTCCTGATCTTTCTCCTTCTTGCTTGGACCATCCCAGCACAGGGAGCCAGGGCCAAAATCTCCTGCTCCCATCCCTCAGACTGGGCCGAAGGGAAATCTTCAGTGAGTTGTTCGGTTTCTCTATAATCTGCAAGAAACCCGCGAGGAGAACGTCAGCCTCTTTGTCTGCATAGCAAAGTAATTATCCTACCTGGAGAAGATGCAGCGTGCTTCCTTGTTAGTTGCTGCATGTCTGATGAGGATGTTTTCCTGAAGGCCAGGTGGGGATGTTCTCTGCCGTAAAATATGCTGTCTGAGAAGTTTTACATCCCATCCTTCTGTCTAGCCCATTGATTAATGATGGTGGCTGGCCTGATGAGCACACTGGAAAGAAAGGAGAGGGACTCGTGCGCTGAGCTTGCAGAGGGACCCCAAGTGTGGTGCGCTGTTGGCAGTGCCCTCCCCAATGACACTGCAAAAGGCAGCTCTCTGTCCCAGGCTTAGCTGGGGCTGCTGGCCCCATAGACAAACTGGTCACCTGAAATGGTTTCAGAGCCCTTTAGCCAGGGGAGCACAGCCAGATGCATCGCTGTGCGGTGTACAGCCACACTTAGCTTCAAGCTGTTAAACCACAGATAAGCTGTTTACTCCCACAAGCTTAACCTGAGCGACTCTGTATGGCCGGGCTCTTGGCAGGTCCAGATCCATGCGATTACTGCCACACCATGAGCTGGTCGTTCCTCTGCTGGGAAAATCACCCCTCTGGTAACAGTGATTGTGCTGGCGCAAACCTGGAAGCAGGATACAACCTCCGTGCATGCTGAGATTTCCCAGCGTTAGCATCGATTTGTTTGCATTCAGGGTATCATGTAACGGAGCCAGATCCTGGCGTTTTGGGAACAAAGGGCTGTGAGCACACCAGTCCACGTCCTTTTTCCCCGCTCTGTTTTATGAATGAACAAAGTGCTCTGAGAAATCCTAGTCCAGGCTGCTAGCTTGGCACGTCAGCGCAGACTGCTCGCTGTTGGTGACACAGAGGTACCACTTCTGTGGTCCGAAAGCTGCATGTTCCCACTTCATCACCAGTCCAGTAAGGTCTCTTTAGGCTGTTGGTTAGTCAGATAAGTGAGTCCAAGACAAGTTAATCTGCCTGACTAGTCCCTCTCAGGTGATTTTAGGAAGACCCTGGATCTACTTTAACAGGCACAAGTTAACTCTCCATTGAAGTACGTACGTCTTTGCACACCCACAGTTCATGTTTACGTCCATCAAACTAGCCATTTTGTTCAGATTAGGCGAACTTCTAATAGATGTCACCAACCTCAATTTTTCTGTTTTGCAAAACTGAAATTGTACCTCTGTATAGTCAGCAGAACTGAAGATTCTGCAGGCAGAAAAGCCGTACCACTGTCCGCTGCATTGGGTCAAAAGACATCTGCGTTCCCTAATCTCCTGTCTGCCTGGGCAGGAATAGAACATGGCACTGGTTTCCTCTTGGGGAATGTTCCCGCTGCGGAGCAAGGTCATGCACGCAGCAGGAGGCTGCCTGTTGTGCCGTGAGCTCCGACTTCTGCTGCTTCAGTAACAACTTTGCTTTGTTGCAGCTGCGGTGGAAGCCTGTGTCTTGTACGGCTTGAAGCGGAGGGCGGCAGGATTCCTGCGCAGCAACAAGATAGCAGCTCTGTTTATGAAGGTGGGCAAGAGCTTTCCTCTGGCAGAGGAACTTTGCAAGAAGGTGCAAGACCTGGAGCAGCTCATTGAGAATGCGTAAGGCACCAGCATTGCTGTTATCCCCCAGGTCGCTCGCGTTTCGGTGTGGGTGTGTAGTTTGGGTATGGCTGTGGCTCGCAATGTCCAACCTGAGCCTCTGCAGGAGGAATTGCTCTTTCAGTGGAGCAGAGTCGTGTCTGTTTGCTTTTCTAGGAGACTGTGAGTTGTGGTTTAAGCTAGGATGGACAAGTTCTTCCTTCCTCTACCCCTTCTCTCATGCTTCAGGGACAGCTAAGCATGTTGGCTCCTGAACTGTCACAGTTTATGGACCAGTGCACTAAGCCAACTGGAACCAAATTTGGTTCGCCTCAATGTGCAGGGCTTGAACCTGCAGTAATTCAACTTCTCTTTGAGAGTGGCTTACTCATCCTTGGACAGGAACCAGGGAGAGATGGTGCAGCTACCTGGGGGCAGGAATCTCTATGCCATCCTAAGATAAGCAGCTTTGCTTGTGAACTGCTGTCCTTAGGCACCAGGGGGAAAGGTGTGTGGGCTGGAGGACTCTGCTGAGGCAGAGGCTTGTTCTAGAGTGCCTTTACAGTGGGAGACCAACGTGCTGAAGTCAGTTTTCAAATGCAGACATGGGCCTTCTGGAGCAGGGGTGGACTAGACGAAGGGAGCAGTCTCCAGAGCCCTGTCCCCAGGCAGTCCCCTGGGCATCCCCCAGCCACCGCAGTCAGCACCGCTGAAATCCTGGCCTCGTGCCCCACAAGGTGCTGTGAGCGCCCTGGGCTCTTGCGTGAGCCAGTGATGTTGTTGTCTTTTGCCTTGTACCTCTAAAGACGAAATCAAGTCCAGGGCATCCCGGAGAATGTGCGCAAGATGCCGAAGCTGCCCAACCTGTCTCCTCAAGCCATCAAGCACCTCTGGATCCGCACTGCCCTCTTTGAAAAGGTCTTGGATAAAATCGTGCATTACTTGGTAGAAAATAGCAGGTGAGTGCTGGCACAGGCCAACCATTTGCCCCTCCCAACTCACTACCAACATCTGCCCCTTCCGATGGTCCTGGAGGTGTTGCTGGCCAAGCTGTGTCCAAGTGGGCCAGAGAAGTCCCTGGATGGGACAGGCCAGTTGTGTTGCTCTGTGCCCAGCACGGGGATGCTCACCGATACCTTGCTGCGTATGGTGGCCACCGTACGCTCCCTAAAATAAAGGCAGGCCACGCTTGCTCTGCTGACAGCTGGGTTGCTGGGGACTGCATCGCCCTTATCTTCTGGAAACTGCATGCTGAGGTGTCCTGTCCTGGGGAGGTGTCATCTCCAGTGCTGGGGATGATTTGTTAGGAGAGGGTGATGCTTGCAACGTGCTGCAGGAGGGCATCTATTCTCCAGGAATTTCATGGCTAGCAGAAACAGCCTGTTACGGGCTTCTTGCCCTCTCTCCATCAAGAAGTGATACAGAAAGAGAAGGGACGGTCATTACAGTGATTTAAAACCACTGTCTCTATCATTTTTGCAGTCACAGGGGGTTGAAATGCTACAGCATTCTGCTCTCTATTTCTTCTAGTAAGTACTATGAGAAAGAAGCTCTCCTGATGGATCCTGTGGATGGGCCAATTCTTGCATCTTTATTGGGTAACATTTTCCTCTTACCCTACTTTGATAGCTTGCTTTCCAAACCTGTGTTCCCAGTTCTGTGATCTGGGATGTGAAATGCAATTGTTTTCTAGTAAGAACTTCAGAAAACTTAATAGCCCTGGAGAGGTAGCCCTGTGGAGTGCTTATAAAGACCACATGATGCCCAGCTGCTGAGCAGTGAATAGAGATGGAGAGTTGCAAGGCTGAGCTTGGGGTTTCCTTTTCTTGCGCAGGCTTCAGTAATACTGATGGGCACAAACCAGGGCCGAGGCCAGGGCCTGAGCAGCAGTGTGGTGCTGCAAGGCAGGGCTTGGCGTGCACATAACCAGTTGGGTGGTGGGTTACTGCTCGCTGCCAGGGCCGGCTGACCCCTCTGAATTCATCACTGCTGTTACACAATGCAGCAGCAATGTGCGCTAAGCCTGGTGCTTGTTGCCTGCTGTCCCACCACCTCTGCTCCAAGATACTGGGCTCCGGGGATCTCGGAACTGGCCACAATCATTGGAACAACACCGATGACTTCCTTACGTTTGTGATTTTCTTCTCTGTGCAGTGGGGCCCTGTGCGCTGGAGTACACGAAGATGAAGACCGCTGACCACTTCTGGACAGACCCCTCAGCTGACGAACTGGTTCAGAGGCACCGGATCCACAGCTCGCACTGTCGCCAGGACTCGCCCACCAAGCGCCCGGCGCTCTGCGTGAGTGGGGGGATGGCGGGCTGGGAGCGACAGCCCCTCGCAGCGCTCCTGGGGTGCACAGGCAGCACTCACCAGAGTTTGAGGCTCTGTCGGTTTGAAAAGGGCTGTGAAGCCCTCTGATGAGAAGAGGTGGAAAAGTGCAGTTTGCTTGAAGTCTTCAAGCCAGAAGTGCTGGGAACTTGGGCCATGGAGACTGCAGGCGTGCTGGACCGACGCGGCACGGCATCATGGGGTCTCCGCCCTTTGGGAAGAGCACGTATGAACGAAAAGCAAAGGCAGCTGAAGTCTGCTCTGTTTATTGCAAACAAAGCACACTCCTGGGGCTTCTCTAAGTACAGAATCGAGCTTGGCCAGAGCCAGGAATCCTCTTAGAGGACACAAAGGGAAAGATTTCTAGTAGTGACTTTAAGTGTATAAGTGAGGGGGGAATGAGCTTTCAGGAGAAGCTTTTTGAAAGCAAGATGCGTCTGTGCTGACCTCATGTTTGTAGGTGGATCTCTTCCAGATTCAGAAAAGGCATTCGAGTGGCAGTATGGATGACCGGCCATCGCTGTCTGCCAGGGACTACGTGGAGTCGCTGCACCAGAATTCCCGAGCCACGCTCCTCTATGGCAAGAACAATGTCCTGGTGCAGCCGGTAAGTACCTGCTGGGGCATCTGGGCTTTACAGTACTGCTCTGCTCCCCACCAGGTAATTCTGTCCCAAGTTGCTTTTTGAATGGAGAAAAGCACAGGCTCATTTCTAATCTGAGAAGGCTGTGACTGCGTTTGTTGAGGTCCTGGTGACATGGATCCTCCCAGAGGAATGGAAGAGCTCTGCTTCTGTCTGAGTAGAAACAGACTGCTCTCCCTGCCCACTCTTGACCAGAGGCCACAGAACCCTCCTCCTGTTCCTTTTGTCAAATAAATGAAGTGCAGCCTGCTTAGGTGGAGCTGTTAAGTTTGCCTCAGCTGGGCAGCTGCTCTCGGCCCTTTTCCAAGCCGGTGAGGTGTTCTGTTGTCTCTGCTGGGAGGTTTTGCAGGGCCACTGTGGGTTTCTCACTGTTGGTGAGCGGATGGGCTCAGGGGCAGCCCGCAGGGCTGTGTTATGGTCCAGGACTGTGCTCCAGGTCATGGCTCAGCCTCGGGTAGCCTGAGGTGGTGCTTCATGCTTCTGGCGTCTTCCAGCCTGCTCTCACCAGCTCGCTCTCTCCCTGCGTTTCTCTTCTCAAGCGAGATGACATGGAGGCAATCCCGGGATATCTGTCCCTTCACCAGACTGCCGACATCATGGCGCTGAAGTGGACTCCCAACCAGCTGATGAACAGCTCTGTGGGGGATCTGGACTACGAGAAGAGGTGACTGGCTCCGAGTGCATGCTAGCACGGGGCAGAGGGGAGGCAAATGTTCTCCAAGTTCAGGGTTTGGATCTGGTGTCCAAGGCCATCAGTGAGTTTTCCCACTGACTGCAGAGCGAAACAATCATCCTTGAGTCTGTAACAGGGGAAGGGATGGGGAAGGAGACCTGAGGTGGGGGGAGAGGTGGGCTGCGGGAGGTAGTGTAGATGCTGTGCTATTGCCTGTCTCTGCTGGGAAGTGTTCAGCGAGGGAACCGGGGGTGCTTGTTCTGAAAGACACAAAGTGGTTTCATTTGTTGCCCTCGGGGATTTTCTCAGGAAAGTGGCCTCTCTACGCACTACACAGTGCTTTCAGGTTTATCAGGGTTATTTTAATCTGGGGAACTGAGGAGCTCATAAACAGGGGAGGAGTATCTGCAGAGAGAGGGAACACGAGCAGTTCCCAGATAACCATACCTCGGTAACAGAGCGTGTGCCATTTTGTAGTGCTGTTCGGTGCTGTCTGCAGCTGATCCTACGTGCAGGTGTTCAAAGTCCCGTGGATTTAATGGAGTCCCTGGAGCTTGTTCCTCCAGGGGGCCTGAAGTCTGCTTAGTTTGCTTGGCAGGGTGTATTGCCATGTCCTTTTGCCTGGGATTGCCTTATGGACTGCTGGCATTTCTCTTAATAACTACAACCCTTTTAACAAACTACAGAATCATGCGAGGTCCCAATTTGCCTGAGAAAGGAAACAAAGCAAACAAAATCCCTTTCCACCAGCAAACGCTGCAGGAAAGCTGGAGTGTTTAGGACACTGATTCTTTGACCTAGGGTGAAGATCTTCTTCAGCAAAACTTGTTCTCAGTTTTGTTTATTCTCAATTGTAGTTTTTTGGGTTTTGTTTACCTGTGTTCTTTTCATCTCCTCTTTCTTCTTGGCCCCTGGGCCGTTCCATTGTGCCTGTTACCCTCCCCCTAAAATGCTATTTTCATCTCTACACTACTTTTCTGAGTTCTTGACTTGGGCATCAGCCTAAGCTCTAAAACTTCCCAGTGTCAAGACGTGACCAAGGAAGAGAGGAGTCAGATGACAAAGTAAGTATGAATCTACAAGGAGTGACTCTCACACACCCCTTCCCGCCCTTAACTGTCTTCGTGAGCTATTTTATAACGCCTTTATTTTAAGCACTATTTTTGTGAAGTGGCGGATAATGCTGCTCAGAGTCTGGAAATTTGCTTTGTTGCAGAGAAGTAGGATGTTATTAAACGCTGACACCCTCGCAGAGCAGTGCTCTTGCTAGGCTCTCCACAGCAATGAAACCCTGCGTGAGGCCACGTGTGTCCCGGCGAGATCCCCTTCCCCAGCTTCCTCCTGGTGTCTCTCTGGCCCTTTGCCCTGCCTGGTGACCAGCAGCTCTCCCAGCGTTTTCTAGATTTGTTCAGTCACCTGGAGGTGCCTGTGCTGAGGGAATGCAGCTCTCGAACAGGGACCAAATCTATTTTCAGCTTTGAAAAAACCCACAAATTGCAAGGGTTTATTTCCCTCTCTCTTGGGGAGAGGAGCTCAGCAGAGCAGCAGCCCAGTCTCAGCCTGCACTGCATGTTCCCTTGGGGCTCTGGGGCTGCTGCTACCAGGTTCATGGGGTTCTCCCAGCACGGCAGCAGGGCAAGGAGTCCTTTCCAGGGTGCCCAGAGGAGAGTGCTCAGCTCTGCAGGGCTCTACGTCCCTCCCTGCAATTGCCAGGATCTGTGGGCACATTGTCCATGTCTGGGAATGGTGTGAGGATAGAGAAACAGCTGGGACACATGGGACTGGACTTGCCCTGATTAAGCTGTAGTAGTAGGGACAGTTACTGGTTCTGGAGGGATGTTGTCCCTGCCTCAGGCTGGCTTCGTGGCAGTCGCACTGCTGCTGGGACCTCATCCTTTCTGTAGCTTCCCCTGGTCCCAGGATAGCTGGAGGCAGGATCTGGAGCTGATGTGAACAGCAGCAGAGCCTCTTACATCCCTGAAGCTCACGACTTCCTCTCTTTCTCTGTTCCAGTGTATACTGGGACTATGCCATGACTATTCGCCTGGAGGAGATCGTCTATTTGCACTGTCACCAGCAAGGTAAGGCCAGAGTGGGGAGCTGCTGGAGGGTGTTATCACCCCGACACTTGCTTCATTAGGTCTTTGGGGAGTGCCCCTACAGGGATGTTTTGTTTCAGCTCCGGGGCAGGTGTCCAGAGCTCTGGGTGGTCACTGCTATGTATGTGCTTCTAGGAAAACCTTTGAACCAGCTCCTGGCTGTGGTGCTTGGCTGGGGAGCGCTCCCTGCAGAGCAACGCGCTGTGGTTTTCAAGAGTGTGGTCTCCCAGGCAAGCCTCCTCCAGGGCCTCAGACTTGTAATGGACTTAGGGAAGAATCCAAACAAGGAAGAAATTCTTTGTTTCGCCCACCAAAAAGACAATTCCCTGAGCTTTCTTGCCTGTCCTCTGCATTTTTGTCTGGTAATGTTTCCCTCATTCATGTGCGTGTCTTCTCTCTGCTGTCACTGTTGCTAATAGTAGACAGCGGTGGAACGGTTGTCTTGGTGAGCCAGGATGGGATTCAGAGGCCCCCGCTGCGGTTTCCCAGAGGAGGGCACTTACTGCAGTTCCTGTCCTGCCTGGAGAATGGCCTCCTGCCCCACGGGCAGCTGGATCCACCCCTCTGGTCGCAGCGGGGAAAGGTAGGCACCCTGAAACCGGGCTTGTTCCTGAGCCCACGGGACTGCAGGTTCTTGCTGGTGTTCCTTTGTGGAGTGTCTCAGAGCAGAGCTGGTGGGGAGGACCCTCTGCCCAACGTTAGGGGCTGCTGCGTTTTGAACAATCCCCCTCCCAAAACTAAGAAGGAAGGTGGGCTTGAAATACGGCATTTTGGTTTAGCTCATGGCCTTGACCAGCTAAACAGACCCTTCTGGGCAAATCAGAAGGGAGGTGGTACGGGGGTGCTGGCCATGAGGTGTGGTAGGTTTGGTTCTCATGGACCTGGCCATGCTGTGTGGGTTATACATACCCTGTGCACAAACAGGGTTATATATTCACCACGTAATTGAAAGCTTAATCCAAAGGCTGCTCCAGCACAGGGAACATGCAAACATCATCCGGGCTGACGAAGCACGTGCTCTTGTTGGGCAGGAGTTCGGCAAATGAGGCAGCGACCACGCTGGCCTGCGTGGTCGAGCGTGGGGTGGCTTGTGAAGGACAGGTTTTGTTCACCTAGGGGAAGGTGTTTCCCAAGCTGAGGAAACGAAGTCCCCAGGGCTCCTCCGAGTCTGCGTCTGACAAGGAAGATGACGAAGCCACAGATTATGTTTTCAGGATAATCTACCCAGGGACACAGTCTGAATTTGGTGAGTGCGTTGGCAGAGAGTGTTTCAGGTGGGGTATCGCGGGGTGTATGAGCAGCCGGGGATGCAGCCCTGACAGGCACGGGGCAATTCGTGCCAGGAAATGCTTCCAGAGAAATGGGCTTTGCTTGTAACAGTGCTGCCTTTTAATCAACATCATGTATGGGCTGGGGTTTTATTATTTTGTTTTAACCTTTCACTCGCTACCGAGTCCTTTGTTTCTGCAGCTGTGCATCAGGCCATGACTGCCGTAACGGTTGGAAAAAAAATTCTTGCACATAATTTCAGTAGTAAGGTTCACTTTGGTCATGTTCCTTGGGGGTCACTTTTCACCACCACAAGCCTCCAGGGCTGATTCTTCTCTTGCTGTCACCAGGCCAACACGGCAAGTGCTGCACTAAATCCAGCTATGTTCCTTCAGCGTTGCTTCTGCAGCGCAAAGAAGAGGTTACAGCACCCTTCTCTGTGTGCTGCCAGGCTTGACCCGTGCGTCCTCACTCTCTAGCTCACAGGGCAAGGGAGAGGATGCTGCTGGATTCGCCAAACCAGAAATCTCTCTTCAGGTCTGGTTGTGAATGATCTCAGCAATGTGCGTGGCTGAAGTGCCTGTACATTTGTCCTCGCTCTTCTGTGGGATACTAAGAACAATTTTTTGACCTCTGGGAACATCATAGATGACTTTCTAAGGGGGAAAACCAAGAGTGCAATAGAAGACTTGTGGAGTACTTTTAAAAAGCTGTGAAATTTGATCAAAAACTTGTTCCTATATTTTTGATCCTGAAAGGGGCAATCACATCTCCTGTGACTCCTCCATAAAATCAGTTAAGATTATACTTTATTCTCCCTGCCTCTAGCTGACTAACACAATTCAGTGAGTCAGATAAAAATCTGATTGAGGCTAAAATAGCAGATAGAGATGCTCTTTTCTGTAGCTTCCTTTTGATCTACCCCTTAAAATTCCATGCTGGGGGCCAAATTTTCTGTGAAATGAATTACTGCAATCTCCTCAGCTGGCATCATCAAAGTCTGTGCGGTTCCTGTGGATCTTCCCAGAGGGGGGTGGAACTGCATCAATTCTTTCTTCTCTACAGATTCTTCCTTTCTCCCCTTTCATTTGTGCCCTTGTCCTCTCTGTGTCTCTAGTTACCATTAATGGTAATTTTCATCCATTCCTTGCGTCTGTGATCTCCATCACTGCTGTGAGAGGGAAGATCGCAAGGACTCCAGCTGCAAGCAAGACAGTGGTGATCCCTAAATGGTTTCCAAGTCTCCCCATCACGTCCCGACCTCCCCTTGCTGCTCTGGGGGCCTCTCGGCATCAGTGTAATGTGGCTGTCATTTGTGTCTGGTACTACTGCTTGCCTGTGTTGTCACTTGATAATTCCTGCAGAGGTGTCCCCTGTGAGTGCTGACAGTCACTGACCCATCAGCACCTGCTCAGTGTGAGGAAAATAGGAATATTGCAACATTTTTCTTGCTGGTATCAGTTATTCAATATCACAAGCAGGGAGAGTCAGTGAGACCAAGGGCGAGTGAGGAAACCCTCTCCCAGCTGGAACCTGGAATTTCTACCATGATTTAATTTCCCAGGAGGAGCAAATAGGATTATTCTTCATTAATCTTTTTCTGCATTCCACAGTTCACCTTCTTCATGATGGCCTTTTCCTAGGAGGGCCCCAGACTGAAGGGCAGGGGCCGTACCAGGCCAGGACAGCAGCCAAGCTGCTCAGGGCTGCACGTTCCCCTTGCACTGGCTCTGCGCCTGTTTGGTTTGCAGGGCGATACCTGAGCAGGATCGAGGCCATTGCGATACCACTTGTGAGTTTAAGCAGGGATTTAGCAAGTGACAACATGAAGAGCTACTTGCTCCTGCTGTCCCTCTCAACCTCTTCATCAAAGTCTTTATCTCCTGTCTTGTGATTTGGATGCTCCCATCTTTCCCTGAATCTTGGATGGGATCCTAGTGTTTGAGAGATGGGGGCTTTTCTCTTCCAGTGATCCACTCTTCCTGGGGCAATGGTTGATTCAACCATGGTTTTTCTCATCTGTGTGACAGTCTGTTGCAGCCCCTTGACCTGAGTCTCTCTGGGTGGGGCGTTTGTTTTCTGCTTTGGTTGGCGCTCAGCAGTTTAGCTTGCTGAAGGCACTGTAGTTAATTAGCAGATGATTCTTTCCCGCTCTCTCTCATCAATGCTCTTTGTTTCCTTTCCTTTCTCCTGAGCTCACCAGCGCTGGTGCTGTCTTTACCTGGTGTGGGTCCTACCTGGTTGCTGGAGTCTCCTTGGGAAGAGTGTGGGATGCTGCATTTGCTAATCAAAAATCTCCTCTGTGTTGACCTCCTGTGGCTCACCTGACACCTGTGGCTCCGGGGCAGTGCCAGACAGTAGCTGATGCTCCTCTCTCTGCCCTCTTACAGTGCCCCAGGACCTGATGGACACGCCGAGTGCTGGCCTGCCTCCCATGTGGCAGCCCAGCACCCGCAAGTCCTCCTGCTCCTAACGGCTGCAGCCATGAAAGGTATGACAGCTCTGCTGCTGCTTGCTTTGAGAAATACAGGTAAAATAAGACAAGGGTTACAGGTGAAAGCCCAGCTGGATGGCTGAACTAGAGCAATTATGGTGCAAGTTGGCCGGGGCCAACTGTGTGAGATTCAGGAAGGCTCAGTGCCGGGTCCTGCACTTCAGTCACAACAACCCCATGCAACACTACAGGCTGGGGGAGGAGTGGCTGGAGAGCTGCCCGGCAGAAAAGTACCTGGGGGTGCTGGTTGACAGCTGCCTGAACATGAGCCAGCAGTGTGCCCAGGTGGC